CCGCTACAGCACTGCTTCTGTGCATCTCTTAAGGGTGTGTGTGGGGGAGAATCTTAATTAGAGGAATTCCAGCCACTGACTATAAGCAATTGTCTGAAGAAGTTACAAAACCTTGGTTTTCTTTTTTTTCTTAAAAGCGTTATGCAAGGATCTGTTTTTGGTAGGCACCTGCTAACAGTTTGCTAAGAAGTGGTTAAATGTATCGAGAAGAACTCATTTGTTTGTCACTGTTGTATCAATGCTCTTTCAATGCTTTGTTTCCAGGCCTTCTTGCAAATGTGCAATCTGCCAGTTCGGGTGGTTTGCAGGGCCAATGCTGAGTACATGTCCCCATCTGGTAAGTGCGGCCTTCATTTAGATTACTGCATTACACCTCCATTTTGGTACCATGGCAACTGTGCCTTCTCTCGCTGATAACAGGCGGTCAGCGCTGCCCCGTGCGGGGCCTTCCCCCTCCTCACCAGTTCCTTTCCCATAAACAATTGGAACAGTTACGTGTCAAGTAACGGTGCTACAATACGGAACCGAGGCTGTGAACGCAGCACGTCGGTGCAGCGGTCAGATAGCTCAAATCTCTGGTGGCAATCTTCTCTAAAAGGCCTAAGCAGAAAGACTTACATTTCCTAGAGTGTCTTTTTTCTGCATCCAGGGAGTATTCCTGCTGATCAGTGAGTGCTGGTATACTCTCCTGTATGTGAGAGGGTGAGAAAACTGGAGAGAGCCTCTTTTGTTACCTTACCTGAGAGATAATGGCCAGTATGTAAATACAGGGTGAAAATGAAGAGTGAGTGCATTGTCAGCCGAGGGTGACAGGTGATTTTAAACCTTTCTCTGATAAAGGAGACTGTCTGGGGAAAAAAACAACCAACCAAACGAAAACACCCCAAACCAGAACCCCACCAAACCCACCAACAATAAATTAAGCACATGAAGCGTACAGTCTGCTTTCTGCTGAAGGTGACTGGTTGCCTAAAATTTCCCAGAGCCTGGTTCCAGAAGATTGCCTAAAACCCAGTGAGAGCTGCTGACTGCAGGGCTCTCCGGTCTGGCAGTCCTTGCACTCCTTCCCAGTGTTTTGTTGCAGAAGGAGGTGCTTCTTTGCCAGCTGCCTGCCTGTCAGCATGGCTGCCACCCGTACTGGTTCTGTTGCTGCTGGTATTGCAGGCAAAGCAAGCGGAAACAGAGTAAAAGCTAGCCAAATTTTGGAGTTATTCCTTAGCAAATAAAGGCAGTGTTGGAATGCTGAATGTCTGCACAGAAGAGCTTCTTAGGTGTACAGCCGTGTGCCCTTTGCCCCTCCAGCCCATGGCCACACTTGTGGGCACCTAATCTGCAATTTTGGTCTGACCCCTTCTTCTTTCTGCCGGCTGATGAAAACGAGCACAAAGGGAACTGATACCAGCTCAGTTTTAAACATAGCTACACATGCTCTTTTTGCCCTTACTCCTGGATTTTTATTCACTTTCCCAATTGTCTTTCTTTACAATATTTTGATTCTGTAAGGATAACTCGAAACGGGTTTTTAATTGCTGTCCACTCTTCTGCCTCCAACAGTTTCACAGCAGCAGTAGACAGATGTGTATCTCATCTTTTTGGGGTGAAGGTTATTTACCTCACAGTCAGCATAATGAGAAAATCCATTAGGAGGGAGTCAGAAGTGGAGCACCAGAGGGCTGTTATGTGTGAAGTGTAGCCTGACGGATTCTGTGAAGCTCTGGAGCTCAGAGGGCTCTGCGTTTTCTTCACAGTACACAGCGTACGGATGCAGTGCAGCCTTTGGTGTGGTGCACTTCTTTACCCTGAGGCCAGCTAAGCAGTGAGAGTGAATCTCAGGGCAAAAATAAAGACTGGATGTGCTGTGAGCATGAACTCCGTGTGAACTAGGCCAGCAGTAGCTTTTATGTGCGTCAGTGGAAAGGAATGCATGTATTGCTAATGATATGTTTGGAGCTGGGCAGGTATTGATCTTGCTCTTCGGGCTCTCTGTAGAGAGCAGAGTTTGCGAGACAGGAAAGTAAGAGTGTGCTGTGTCCCACTGCACTGGGCAGCTTCTTTGCTGTATTTGGTCATGAGGGCTTTGTCAGTAATACAAACTGCCCAGTGTGTGTCAGTCTTATGGCCAGTTTCAGTCATGTAGATGATCATAAGCATTTAGTCTTAAATTTACACAGTACTTAAGATTGATGTTTGTCAGTTGCAGTTGATTGAAGAGTTAGAGAATGAGCAACGTGATTAGGGTGGGTTGAAGGAAGAGGAGCCTTCAGCTCCCCTTTATGAGCTGGTCCCAGTCACTGGAAATCTAGGAGGATAGGAGGAGAGAGAGAGAGACAAGATTCTGCCTTGCTGAGTGTGCATTTTGCTTTTCCTGCTTGCTTTTCTGGGCTCGGTGCCACATCTCCCACATTCATTTCAGCAGCTGTTTCCCTGCTCGTGGGCTGGAAGGGAGGGTGGGAATGTCTTCTTGTCAAACTGTCCGAGGGCTCAGTCTGATTGCCTGGGATTTCCCACCTGTACTTCAGAGAAATGTTGAATTCAGTCTTTCCAGCAAAGCAAAATCTGTTATTAAAATACAGGTCAATGGATCTCATTCAGTAACTCTGAGATAGGGAACTGCAAGTCTTGCATGTCAAAGAGGGTCAGAAAGAAGATCGGGCAGTTACAGTGGTTATTGCAAATGAAAACTGTTTGAGCTTCATATGTAAAAACTTTACCTGTGCTCATCTGGGAAAAAAAAAACACAAAACAACAAAAAACCGAGACTGATGTTCAGGCATACTTGTGGTATTTAATTGCATTGAAAATATGCAATGACAGTTGACATATATAAAAAGCTCCTACTAAAATACATTTCTCATTTTACAGGCAAAGTCCCCTTTATTCATGTGGGAAACCAAGTAGTATCTGAACTCGGGCCCATAGTCCAGTTTGTGAAAGCCAAGGTAATTACGCACAGACTGCATCTATTACTGGGTTGTGTACCAACCTTCTTTAGCACTGCTGTGGAGTTGGGGTGCTCTTCTGGAATGTTACTTCACTGTTAAAACGGTGCAGCAATCTGGTGCTGGTTCAAAAGAAAGACACTCCGAAGTGAGAGCGCTGAGGTGGAAATGTTTCAATTTAACATTACCTCCAATTCAGGAAGCAAATTCTATGCAGGACACGTACACACCACTGCCACTTTCTGCAGCTGGTTTTCTACATCTCTGTCTCAGAATTCTTAAACCCAGAAATTACTGGTGTAATTTTTGAAGCTGTATTTTCAACAACATTGTCTTCCCACTGAGCACTTCATAAAGCTGTAGCACAGATGTAAATCTGTGTTTACTTCTTGATACAGGCTGTATGCTCACCTCTAACTGGTAATAACCTACATTTATTGCAGATCAGTTCTGTTACATTATAATTATTTTTCTAAAGGGCACTTTATGTAGAAAGTACGTGTGTAACTTGTTACGTGCTGTGTGACAGATCAGTGTCTGAACCAAAGCTCACTGACTTCTGAGGTCTTTGGGTCAGGCATTGCTGAATATTCCAATATCCTCTCTTATGTGTCTCTTTCTTTCCCCATTAGGGCCATTCTCTCAGCGATGGGTTGGATGAAGTCCAAAAAGCTGAGATGAAAGCCTACATGGAATTAGTCAATAACATGCTCCTGACAGCGGAGGTACAGCAAACCATAGTAACTGCACATACTTCCATAAGGGATTATAGGCAAGAATGCTTCATGATATTTTCTTGTTCTGGAAATAGTGTTTGTTCTTAGATTCAATCTTAGGTCATCAGTTTTTAAGGTGAAATCAGACAGGAATAAATTCTGTGGATCCTGTGGACTACTTGATGAAATATCCTGCAGACACAAGCCATGCGTACAGCTCCCTTTACTTGTCTGAAGCACGCCCTGTAGCTGTAGAAGTGCCAGATTTGTGCGGATGGAAAACGCCAGCAGTCCTTGCGGTCCTGCCCCAAGCCATAGCTGGCTGTGCAGCCCCAGCGCTGCCTTCCACACAGCTGCTGTCCTTGCTGGAGGCAGGCCTGCCCTGCGGGTCGTGCCCATGGCCCGTTAATGTGATGTGGGGCTGGTGCTGGAAATGCTTCTGCAATCCCAGGCACATGGCTGAGGGCTGGGACCCCGGGTGTTGAGCTGTGTGTGGCACAGGCAACTGGAGTGGGCCTTCAGCTCCAGCGTGGTTCTGCTGCTTGCGAGCCAGCAACTTGGAGCTGGGCTTGTGACTCTGGTTTTAATTTCTTCACCATGTTCAGAAGTCTAATAGAAGGCACTAAATGGAAATTTAATCTAATATAGAAAGGAAAATTCTAGTAGTGAGAAATGATTGTCTCTGTATTCTCGTTTATTAGGAAGTTGTAGTAAGTGTTCTTTCTGTTCCTAGCTCTATCTGCAGTGGTGTGATGATGTTACAGTAGAGGAGGTGAGTGGTTCTGCAACATTTATCTTAATTAAAATTTAATGAGAAAACACTTTTGCTCACAAATGGAAGTCCCTACTCATAAATGAAACATTGAGCTCCATACCATTAATGATACAGTCTTCTCACTTGAATTCTGCTTGCGTATACATTTTAGGGAAGTTGTAACTTTACTGGAGGTATGTGACTGCAGAACAAATATGAGTTTTGCATATGTTTTCTAGGTAATAATTTTAAATGGTTATACTGAAAACAATAAATTCTGCACAAATAATTGCAACGTATCACACAACATTCTTTCTCTTTATTGCCCTCTTAGCTGTTTTGTAAATAGAGCTGTCTGCATTTTTTACATTGTAACAAAGTAACTTTCTGTTTCTTAACAAAGATTACCCACCCAAGGTATGGCTCCCCTTACCCCTGGCCTCTAAACCGCATTCTGTCCTATCAGAAGCAGTGGGAGATAAGGAGAAAGATGAAGGCCATTGGGTGGGCTGGCAAGTCGCTTGAACAGGTCAGTATGAGGGGTAAAGCTTATTTCTTCCCAGTGTTTTCCACTGTTCTTTTATTTAAGACTTAAGAGAAATAACACTTTATTTAACTGCAACTGTTACAACAAAATTCCGTGCAGAGTTATGTGAGGTCAGGTATCTGTCATCAGTAGTGATAAATCTTAAATGCTGTGCAGTCTGATGGAGTGGGAGGAAGGATGCTTTACCACATGTGCATCTCTCTTCATGTTCGTTTAGCCGATGGTCCTGAAAAACAGATTTTGAATTACTGCCCCTCTCCTGTGGCATTAATAAGCACGCTTTGCAGGACTGTAGCTTCACTTCTCAGTAGTCCTAAAAAAAAAAAAAGAAAGCAGTTTGATGTGTAGGTTAGTAACTTTCATTAAGCTAAGTTAAAAATTTCTTGGAAAGCATTTAATTAGAGTTGGCTCTACATTAAATGTGTGATTAAATAACACATAGCTGCTACCTTTAACAGCTTTTGATGCTCCAACATTGTATGTTCCTTGTTCCCTCTGCCAGCACTAATACAGTAAGGAGGTACATATATATATGTACTGTTGTTCTTTCCTGACAATATGATTATCTTATCTCTTGTGTGTTTTGATAGGTGCTTGAAGATGTAGACCAGTGTTGTCAGGCTCTCTCCCAGAGATTAGGAACACAACCATATTTCTTCAATAAGCAGTAAGTTGCTCTCTACAGAAATGGTACATCCACAAAAAAAGCCCACCCTTATATCTATATATTTAAAAATGTGCATACAGGTATACATTTATAAATATGGAAACTTTCTGTTTTACTTTAATGGTTGAGGAAATTTGAATGTGTGGCTGCAATACAATTTCAGAAACAAGTTATTATAGATTTTAAAGGGAAAGAGCACCACAGCTCACGTAGGCTACAAGCTTGCACCTGTATACAGTTAATTTCTTAAAAAGAAACAAACAAAGATACTTTTATAGCTTGTATTTCTTAGGCAACGTTCTTTACTGAGCACAGGACAGGAGATAAAAGGAACAACTTGGCCTTTGTCAGATGTCTTTTGCTTCCACTCGTTGATGCCAACTGCAAAATGCTATTTTTTTTCTCTCTGTAATTCAATGGGTTTTTTACATATTTAAATTAAATGCTAAATAACATCTGTGGAGTACTTCCTGGGTTGTATTCAGGGCTGATAACTATAGTGTAATGAACTGTGCTGAAAACCTCCAGGTTTCTCAGGCTCTTATTTTTAGGTATCCTCTGCAGCCAGAGTTGGAGGTTTTGTGGATTAAACAGTAGTAGGGGAGTAACACTGAAAAACAGCAAAATGACCACTATGTTTGTGTGACAGTTAACCAAGAGCATGCTGAAATTTTTTCTAAAGAGTCTTCTGTGACACCTGCTTTATGTCCACTTCTATGAAATAAACGTCGCCAGCTGTTGTCATTCTGGAGCTCCTGTTCTAATTGATTAAGTAGCTCTTGAGTATGAAAAAGCACAAAAAATGAATAGAAAGAGCTTTATTTCCCCCCTCTTTTAATTTTTAGTTGATTCATTTATTTATTTAGAAAAGAGCTGCAGGAACAAAGCCAATGGTGGAGCATGTCTGACTTCAGTCAGTAACTGTGCCCCTTCTATAAGTGTTACTTTTACGTTTCCCAATTGCTAAAAGGAAAGAAAGATGACATATTGAGAACTATGCTCATACTATGCTCCTTTCCCACGTGTTTGCTAAATTCATTGTTGCTTGCTTAATTCTGAGTTCTTAGATTGCATGGTTACCTGGAAGTTACTCAAAGCAGAGATGGGATATTTCTTGATCATAATATCTTCCAAATATCTGTTCTGTTCTTCTGTTTTCACAGACCAACTGAATTAGATGCTCTGGTATTCGGACATCTGTTTACAATCCTTACTACTCAACTAATCACTGATGAACTCTCTGAAAAAGTGAAAAACTATGGTAATCTCACAGCCTTTTGTAGGCGAATAGAGCAGCAATACTTCGAAGGTCACGATAAAGATAGCTCTGCAACTGCTTCAGCCAGATATGCTAAAAGGTCCTTACTGAGATAAGTGTGTTGTTTGATGGTCAGGGTGTGCTGCATCTCAGTTTTGGGTTTTGTTGTTTATTGAGTTGGTTTCGAAAATTGTTTATTGAATTGGTTTCAAAGCTGCCAAATCGTTCTGAAGCAAGAACTCCTCTCTAAATGTAGTTTTAGTGTTGTAGAATACACTGTGCACATTTAACTTGAAATGACTGTATGGGCACCTGGATTTCAATAGGCTGCATGCCACTTACTCTGAAGTGACCTTGGAAGAATATTGTATCTGTACTAAAAAGAATAAAATATTTGTAAAAGTTTCTCTGGTCTTTCTAAATAGCTTTCACTAAGCTTTACACCAGTGGAATAGATCCTGCTCATCCTTACAGTAAAAAAGCAAACGAATACATGAAATAGTGAATGAATCATTTCACTTTGTAATAAAACTCATTATAGGAAAATACTTCCTCCTTCTGTCAGTACTCCCTAGTCTTTCATGTGCTTGCACTTCAAAAATTAATGTTGACAAAAGTGCCAGCATTTGTAAACGAGTGGTCAAAAATAGGGCTGTAGGGCTTTTTTTTCCCCTTCCCCTCATACTATTCCTATTAGAATAACACTTCTACCTGGAGGATAGCTGTATGGTAAATAGTCCAAATTACTGTTTTGGACAGCATTAGAGAACTGAAGTTCTCCTGCCTCAGCCAAAATGCATCCAGGAACTGAGTGACAAAAATGTCTTGTAGCTTTGCAACATCACAACTGATGAGATTCTATTCAGTCCTTATTTTGTGTCAGTGTGTCAGAACAGCTACTGGTTGTCATTGTGTTTTACTCTGTTTGCCTTGTTTCTGCTTTTACTTCTTGTTCACCATTGGTTTTCAGATTAGAGTTCTTTTTTTCTTTTTTTCCTTTTTTTTTTTTTTCTTTCATTCCAGTGTTTTTTCTCCTCAGTTTGTCTTGCTCTTTGTTTGAAATGAAATTTGCTGGCTAAGCATCTGCCTGTCTGTTTTTACCTTCAGTATGTTAACACTGCTATTAAACTTTGAAATAGTTGCTGGGGTGGTTTGCTTCCCAAAATGAGGTGGTGTGAGCCTATTGCTAGCATGCCTCAGTCCTCCTGCCTCCATATCCTGTGATGCATGTCAGCACAATAATACTGCAGTAAGCAAAACTATACCCTTTGGTGCTCCAAAAACCATGGCAATCTGGACCTTTTCAAGGAAGGAGAGACTGTGCGTAGGCCTCTGTCTTTCTGGTATTTCTTTGAGCATGTTAAATAGCATCACTTTGCTTTGCTGTGTCAGTTGTGCTTGATGCTTTTCCAGAAGTGCTAACAACCCAGGGAGAACGCTGGTGGCAAAACCAGTCCTCACGCGCTCTACACAAACTGGGAACCTGCCTGAGCTGTCTGACTTGCTGGAACCATTGTGTTTTGGTACCATAAAATATATTTATTTGGCTGTACCTTCCAGTGTCAGAATTACTGCATGGCTTGAACTGTTACACAGTGATTGAGATTTTTGGCTGCTGTTTCCTCTTCAAAACTTGAGCATACTTTGGAAAGTAGCAGCATACCTTGCATTGGCTGGGTCTCTCTTGGCTCTGAGGCTCATGAACCACTGCTACTTATTCACACTGGAAGGGACCAGCATTGCCAGCTCAACTGGAAAATGGAGCTGAATTCCTGCAGCTTGCTTTCTGATCTCGGACTTACAATGGAGTTGAACTAAGGTAAGTATCTGTGCGTAAGTGGGGTTTGGCTATCTATCAAATCACTTCTGCTAGGAGAGGAACATTGCCCTTGTTCTGTGTTTCATCTTTTTAGCTTCACAAGTTGGGCTTTAGCTTGAAAAGGAATTCAGACAAAACAATCACCTCTTAATTGCTTAGTGACAGTTTCTGCTATCAGAGTGTTGGTAGCTGAGAGCCCAGAAGTTTCTTTAGGGTCACCTTTCCTGCATTAATGTCACTTCTGGAAAAATTAGGAAGTGAATTTGTTGTGGAGGTTTTCTTGGATTGGGGGGAATGGCATATTGTGATAAGCACTGCTTTGAGTGAAATCCTCTCTGATGGGCTTGAAAGCTAGCAGTGCCACAAAGGTGGGGAATCCTGGATAAAAACAGAATTATTTTAATCCAGAAGGATTAAACTTGGATTTACTTCCTATGAACTTCAGAGCACCATTCATGAATGCAGGATTTAACTCAGCTCCAGTGGTTTTGCAGTTCTGCTATCAGTAGATTGAACTACAGAAGTAATTTACTTGGTGGATTTCGAAAGCCACCTGTGCACAGGCACGAACTTACACATAGCCTGAGAAGCACCAGTGGGCATGTATTCCTCCTCTTTTAAGGCTGCAGTGGCCATTGGCCTATTTCTTAACAAATTTGAGAGATTGCTTTGAAATGACAGGGTTGGATTAAACACCATTGCTGCATTTTGGCAAGAACAGGTTTCTCTGAGGATGAGCGAGCACTGGTAAGACAACAACTTGAATGCTGAGCTGATAGTCATTGCAAATGTTGTGTGGTAACACCTAGCAAGCTTTTAACTTCACAGGAAAAAAACCCCACTGAGGTACTGTATGTATTCACCCACTTTGAATGTCTCATCTAGAAAACATGCCCAAATGCTGTGGAAGCGGTTCAGCAAAAGATAGTGATCTGTTCCAAGCAAAGTTTGTGTAAATCTGAGCTACTCAGACTGCACTTAAGGATATGGAGACAGGCAAATTACATGGAGCTTTCAGTTCTGAAGTGAGAGGACATGCAGGGATCTGCAGGCTAACCTGAATAGCTTCTGAAAACGTAACCCCTCCCCCTCTTGCTTCTTGAGTCTGACTTTGATACCTTCATTAGTAAAACAAAATTTAAAAAGGATTTTTTGATTTCCTTAAGAGCATACCTGGTCGTTCATAACTGCATGTTCTTCTATGCAATCTCTAAACTGAAAACTACAAGAAAAGTCTCTGCTACTGATGCTAAAGATAGCTATTACACTCATAGATGGAGGACATTGAGCTCCAGCAATACAAGAAGCCGTGATGCTTTCATGAGCTCAGCACTAAGGATCACAGCTTGCAGAGACCATGCTCTAACTCTGGGAAGCTGTAGTCCTGTAAAGGACAATGACTACTGCTGAGCTGCTGTGCATAGCTCAAGAAAAAGAATGAAAAGCTGAAACATGACCAGCAATAAAGCCAGGTAGGAACTTCTTATTTCCCAAAATTAGGACAAAAATAAGATTTCTAGCACAAGGCATGTCAGGAGCAGCTGTGTCATGGCTTAATGTACATCCTCTGAATATGCTCTAGCACAAGAACTGCAATGATCACTCAGCCAAAGTGGTACACGTGGTCATAAAAGCACTTATCTACAAGTGAATGGACACTGTGGAGTCTGAACAATGCGTACATCACTTACCCTTGGTGGATTTCTTCTCATTGCCTTTCTGTTCCATTAATTGCTTCATATGGAGATGCTCAAGCTGAATGAGTTCTTGCTGGAAAATGGCACGTGCTTTCCTTGCTTGACAGAGCTAAACCAAATAGGAAAGCTGTGGTGAAAATAACTGCTCCTCTATTCCCAGGGTGCTGCTGTGCCACTGTGTTGCCTGACTCCAGCAACATCTGCATAGACTGTGGGGTGATGGAGAAGCTGGTTTCAGAGATGAGAGCGGTGGTACAGCAGGCATTTGTACTGCAGGCACTTGTAGGCTGAGGAGGAAAACAAATAGAAGAGGGATTTTATTGTTTACTGTTGCATTTACTGCGTGCAACAGATGTGATCGCTGCAGATTGAAACAAAGTCCATTTTTAGAAATGTTTTATGATTATATAACTCGCCATTGCACAAGAAAAGTGGCAGTGTTACTGTGCATCCTTTTTGGATGTTCAGAGTTGTGCCCTGTAGGCAAAAGGTTATCTAGCGGCTGGCAGTGTCTCTGCCTTGAATCTGTGCAGCAAGGCCTGCTGCCCTGGGAGGACAGAAACCATCATCATGAATTTGAACATTAAATAGTGTAGACCGGGAGTTGTTTGCGTGGGGCAAACAAAAGCCATTCTAAAAACTATAAACCCAACTTGGAACCTTGTGTGTCTTGATCTTGTCCAAATGCATTAACACTTCTGCTGCAAATGTTTAAGGGTATCTCCTTTCATTCTCTCTTTTTGATTATAATTGAACTATTGCATGGCCCCATGTTTTCCTAATGGCTTTTAGTAAGCAAGGGCTACCCCCCCTCCCACTGAGGTGAACATCCCTTGGCCACACAGGTTAGCTCAGTGGGTAGAAGAGTGGGGTCCTGTATTCAAATGTACAACATGGGAAATGGTTGTCCATCCTACTTCACTGTGAGCAGTGACATGAAAACAGCCCAGGATGTGAAAGCAGCTGGAATTTCAGCTGTAGGCCTTACAGTGCTGATCCTGGTTTCCAGCTGACAGCTCTCCCTGAGCCCCTGCTTCTCCTGTCCCTCCCTGAAGGCAGTTCTCCACTGGGGAGTGTCTGCTGCTGCGTTTTATACTGCTGTGATGAGGTTACCAAAGAAACATTAGGTAAAGGATCTTTGGATTTAGCAGCTTTCTCTAGGATTTATCACTCCATACATCAGATAGTAAAAACTGTAGTACTGAGTGGTGTTAATGAGATATACATCTGCTGTGTTCTCTTTTATTTCTCTTCCACCTCTCCAAGGAAGAAAAAATAACCTGGCAATCTCCTGCTTCTCAAATGTACTTAAAACACGGTCTGGTGGAAAAAAAAGAGCATAGCAAGCCCTGCACATGGAGAATGCTGCTGAGCTGCACTTAATGATGCCTCTTAGGATCAGCCATGCTGCCTGAAAATGCTTCATTTCCTGTGGCTTTCCTTCTTTACAAGCCGAGTGCAGCTCCAATGGCTCTCACAACAATTATCACCCACTTGTTCTGCAGGTTTGAAGTTTTTTGCATTAGTCAGGTTGAGAAATTCATGGTATTAATCATGACTGAAGTTGTTATTTATCACCTGCTGGGTGAGAAATAATAATTTTGGTACTACTGGGGCAGCAGACCAGAAGTACCAAATTAAGTAAAACATCTAAACACTAGCAAGGATCATTTCTCTGATTAATGATTTGTTACAAAGAAAAAGTGCTATTTGTTATCTGATCTTAGGATAAAAGTGGAACTTGGAAGTAAAAACCATTAGCAAAGTCCGGTTGTGCTGTGATGTAGTTTGAAACTTTCCTGGCGGATCTCTCTGCTGTCATTCACTGACTGTGAACATGCACTCATCTGTGGCAGAGTTGCAGTACTTGGCTCACACTCCCATTGCCAACTTTGCAAAAAGTAGCGTTTGGCCAGGAGCTCAGGCCCCATTGTGTAATCGCTGGAAAGAAATGTTGAAACTACTTTAACCTTCTAGGACTTGCCTGGGCTGGAAGGTTTTGCCATAGGAACAGTCACCAGACTGGCAAAACACCATTGTGTGAAGGCGGTAATGGAGGCACAGGAAATAAAATAAGCAACATCAACAGAAGTGAGTTTATGCCCAGGTAGCTGTATCCATACACAGGGGCCATCAGTCACCTACTGGATTAAAAATCCCACAGATACTTGCTACCTGACCAGAGGTATTTCACATATAAATGCAAAAAGGGCCTACACAGACATGGTTCCATTGAAATGAGGTGAGTGTGTGCTTTTATAATTGCAAACCACCGTGTCACCATGATGTGCCCCATCCTTTCCCTGAAAGACTGTGGTAAGGAGCTGAGGAGCTGGCCAGGTAGGAATGCCCATGGAAACTCCATTTTTGGGGTTCATAAATGAGATGTAAAAACTTGCTCTCAGCTTTGAATATGGTCGAAGAACTCAGCCCTATAGAGAAGGGCCACACTGAAAACAAATTAACTTCAGGCTCAATTTTTTTTTGTTGTGGCTTAGAGAAAAAAAAAAAAAAAAAAAAAAAAAAAAGAACAGAACTTGTTTTAGAGGCCCTTCCTGGCTCCAGCTAATACATTTTCTGGAAAGAGGACATAGCCAAAACCACTGCTGTCAACCAAACCAGCATGCATAGAGGCTGACTTGAAACCATGAGCTGACATTAGAGGCTGACGTGAAATCATGCCTTTCCTATCTGGCTTAATGTTGACAGTATTCCAGCTGGTCAATAAAAACTTCTTTTTTTTTCTTTTTCTTTTTTCTTTTCTAAGCAAGCTTTACTGCATGTATATGCTTTATAATGTAGATTTTTTTTAACCTTAAAGTTTATTTTACATTTACGAAGAAATTTAGAGACCTCAGGGATGTGGGACGTGATGGTCACCTTCTCTACAAGAGTTGCTCGAATCACCTGTCTTCTAGGGTCTGCGCCTTCAGTTCAGTGACAAGAATTTGAAATGAGAATGAAAAGCATGCCCAGCCATAAGAGCAGCTAGGAGCCTGGCAAGTGGAAGGCCATCCTCCCAGGTGGAGCAGGCAGCCATAAAGGGGTACTGGTGCCTTGTTGCAGGCACTGAGGGGAGGAACTAGTGCTGCTCAGCCTTGATCAATTTTGTGGTGCTGGAATGAAGAGTAGCCATCACTCATGCTGCTTAAACTACAGCATGATCCTGCTGCCAGAGCGTGCTCCTTTTTTGCCTTTGTCTTCTCATAATGAATTCACACTTTCTACCAGTTCTTGCCAAAGACTTTCCAGCTGTGGATCAACCTCTCTCCTCACAGACCTCAGGCTCTCTTTGTCATCCCCTCACGGATGGTAGCATCTCCTCTCTGTGCTTTTATCTACAAAGCAGAATTTTGGCCAGCTTCTCTTGACTTTGAAGCTATCTTTTGCTGGTCACATGATTCTCTCACTCTTGTGATCAGCAGTTCTGTCACTGATGCCCGGGATAATCACCTGAGATTATCTTGTGATGACTGCCTCTCACCTCTCAGATGTTAGGAAGCTGTTAGGCTAAGAGCTGCCCCTTTCTTTTCTTCTCAAGACAATAAAAACTTCCCTTCAAGTCCACTTTCTGCTTCCACGTCGATTCCTGTAAATTCCTCTCTAAAATTCCATTGCAGTTTCTGTTGGCTCCTTCCCTCAGAAGTGAGAGTATTTTGATCTACAATGCCTCCTAGCCAAGAAGTATACAGCCAAATTACTGCCTATCTCTAAGATCTCTTTCATTTGCAGTTTAAGTCTGTGTTGTAGCATGCTTAAAGAACCAGTTGATGGAGATCAGTCGTTTGGGGGCTTGATGGGAAGGGTATTTTTCTATCTACTTGAATAAATTCATCTCCAGCATATTTTGTCATAGGTTACGGTGTTTTGTAAAAGGCAGGTAGGTTTATGCATGTGTGTGATAATCACCGGCATTAGGGCAGACCTGCCTGTTAACTTCTGTATGACAAGCAAGCACGAGCACACAGGGCTTTCTATTATGTCAAAACACTCTTGTAGCAAAGCAAAAGAACAGTGCTGTGGAGAATGCTGCCCATCAGCTGATGGAAAAGTTTCTGACACACACAGGACATCTCCTGCATACCTGTTTCAAAGGAGGAGCTCTTTTTTGGTTCAGCATGCTGTCCTGGGGCCCTTCCTGCCTTTGCTGCTACTTCATGGTCTTCCTATCCTGGGAAAAGGAACGTAGTGAAGGTTTTTATACCACTAAAATCACGTTAGAGCAAACAGAAAAACCAGCTTTCTAGGCTTGTTTAGATGGAGAGAAGCACTCTTCAACCCTACCACATTCTGCAACAGTGAGTCCTCATGCTGCTTCCACAGGAAACAGAAGGCTAACAAAGTCAGTTCCATGATGTGTTTCCATAGGCCACGATGCCTAAAATCTGCTTTTCTGACTCACTAACCACAGAAAATTGCAACAAGTTTTTTTTTTCTTTTTTTTTTTTTTTCCCTGATTAAAATTCAGCACTGGAAAATAACAGGAATGAAGACTAAAACTCATTTGGCTAACACAGCTCTGTAAAATCTATTTGCAATACTTGTATTAGAATAGTAAAAATCATCAACGTAATTATAAACTATGAAATAATGAGAAGCAGGCTGAGAAAAGCTTGGGAGTGCAAGGAGCAACTCCTCACTGCTGAGGGGTTAAGAGCATGAAATGCTTAAACGAAGCTTTTAAAAGAGGAAAAACCAGTAGCAATAGGAGAAAGGAGTTCCATTTCAGTCCTTAGCTCAGATCAGTGGGTTTGTCAGTGCCTTGTGCTCTCTCTGCAGTGAGTTGGAGCCATCTCTTGCACTGCAGCCAGCAGAAGTTGTTTGACGCATCACTACAGCACACATTTGAAACGTCACTGGTCTGCAATCAAAGGAGTGATTTCTAGCCAAAGATTACAGAATACTTGGCAAACTGAACCAAGTGGATGAGTCAGATAGCAAAACCTGTTCAACAGAAGAGCTAAGTCAAGACACAGCAGTTGCAAGTAATTTGTCCCAAATGCGAGCAGAGCAAAATCTGGACCAGGGGGCTGGAGGCTGCCTTCCCAGCTCCACGCTCCAACCACCGCACTGCATTCTCTGCTTCTCTCGTAACCACAACGGCCTCTGAAAATAACCCTTCAAAGGCATTTCTTGGTAGTAACAAATGAACCATCAAAACCTAAACAAAGAACCCAGCAGTCGAGATGATGCGAGTTAACAAACAGAAATAACTAAGCCTGCTTTGTCCTCTGCTTATTTCCAAACAAATAAAACCCAGGTCATTTGTACAGACTTCCTCCTTCCCCTCTCCTCTGCAGCTGCTTAGGAGTCCCCAGGAGACAGGACCACTTTCCTTTGCTTTCCAATCTTTAAAATATATTCATTCCAGTTTTCAAATTGCTATTTTGTAGTGCTAAATCTCTACCCACACTAATTTCTCCAGGTCAGAATCTGACCCTGATTTGAACAAAATCTGGAGTCAAATATTCACACCAGAATGCTTCTGCCTTGCTGCATGTCAGATGCCATCTTCCTGCAAATGTGTCACACACCTTGGAGTGCAGCTTGTGGAACTGATGAGGTGAAGAGCACCGCGGAGCAGCTCTGTGCTGGTAATCACAGGACTGAAGAAACACATACATCATCTGCCACATAGGTTGGCATTTCAAGTAAAAAACCTTCACAATGTGTAAGATGTTGGACAAATGATGGCCATATGCATGTTTGTCTCTGTGCAGATGTCTTCGCGTTCTCAGCTAGGAAAAAGCTGAGGTAGGCTCTTTTTTGCAGACAGTTTAATATTAGTGACACAGTTTATGTCCTCTGCAAAAACAATAATGGAGGATAAGGTGACATAAATTATTTGCAAATCGTTTGACATATGCAGGGCATTGTCCTTGCAATAATCACCATCAGTCTGTCAGTTTAAGATATGAACCGTGCCACTGCCATTTTATATCATTGTGTTAAGCTTTCACATGTTGTAATTTTACAGATTTGTTCTTTGCAGAACACTGCAACACAAATCAAATTGTATTATGTTTAGTCATATGCTGCGTGGAGCACCTTGCTGCAATTAGGGATGGAGCAGACGAGCAAACAAACAGTCGCAGATAAGAGCCAGCTCCTCGAAAGTTAGGAAATCTGTTAGATACCATTACTCAACTTTCGTGGTCATTATTCAAGGCAAGAGGAATTATTTAAATTCATGCTAACATCAGTTGCTGCCTGCATGAGCAAAGTGAGCACTGGAAAGTATCGTACTGACAGGTCAATTTAAATCCCCCTTGTCTTTTTTGTTTCACCACAGCAGTCACACACAAGGTTTGATTCTTATGAATAATGTGGGTTTTTCTAAAGTAAATATGCGGATTTCTTTTCAACTTACAAAAGACCCCATAGGTGCCTGTAGTTTTAACCCTGCTTTCTGTAGAGGCACAGAATGTTTCTGGAATAGCAATTAACTCAGCATTGTCTCTTTTATTCTAAGTGAATTAATTCCTGTGGTACAGTTAAACAAACAAACAAACAAACACAGACAGAAAGGCCTAAAGTCAGTGGGTTATTTTTAGTCTTTTTTTAAAATTTGAACTGCTGATTACTGTGGGAACCACTCACAAGTGCATTCTAAGTGCATTCAGTGCCAGGTACCTCATTTTAACCATCTGAGAAACATTTTAGCGTGAAGGTGTGTCTTAATCAGTGGAGGAGTCAGTAGGAAATACTGGAACATACATTCCGGATTCTGCATTTCAGTGACTTTTTACTCTATTTTGAATAGAGAAACATGATTTGTTTTCCCCTGGGAAAGTTCCCCACATTCAGTTGTCAGCAGAACAGAATCTTTCTGCTTCCAGTGAGCCCTTAAACTAGAAAGATTTATTGCACTTACACCCTTGAAAGAACATATCTTTTTCTTTGAAGGCAGCCATTATCACCATCCCATTTTATATCTTTTCTGATAAGTGCAGGCAGTAAAGTAGATAAACTCCTTGCATACCAATTAAAGACACACGCACACCGAGACGTATACTATCAGGGATGCTCAGAGTAATATTCTTCTGAACACAGTAGATATATCTAGGGAGTTTGACTTTTATTATTCTCAGCTTTACACCTCTGACATTTCTAAAAACACGGCGGAAATTAATGAATTCTTGCCCAGGACTCTATTGTCTAATCTTGCCCCGGCGCTCATGAATTATGGAAAATGACAGATCAGCTGATGGCATACAGCAGGCTATTTTAGAACCACCCTTTTAACACAACCTGGGCCACAAAAAGCTCATCCCTGAATTTCATACAGCCACCTGACAAAATATTAGTCCTGTTTTACATGACACCTTAAACAGTAGCCTGTCTCCTTCACATCCAGCCTTATATGATCGTTGTCAAGCACAGAAAGTACAAAAGCTGGAGCCCTGAGCCTCAGGCTGCCTCTCTCTCTTCTCAGGTAGGGTACTGAAGTTCTAACTCAAGCAGCCCGCCTTGGACTTTTCCCCTGGAGATCTCCACAAGCTACCTGTGGGCTCAGGGACATCTTGAGGCTCTTACACACAGCCTCCTCCATCTGCCTGTGCAAGGCTCCTTCTCCACGTCCTTTCCCCAGGCAGAAGCGAGGCCTTCGCTCACAGTGACTGGGGAAGGTGCAGGCTGGAGGGGTGCTGAGCAGGGTGCAGCACCCTGGAGCCAACTTAACAGCTCAGGCCCAAGGGTCGCTGCCTGCTCTGTAACGCAGGCACAGCAGAAGCCTTCAGCCACGCCATCTCCCACACGCTGCTCACGCGGCCAAGATGGCGGTGGGGGGCTGGTGGGTGCTGCCCTGTGTGCTGCTCCCTCAGGGCCCTCGCTGAGGTGTGCCGTGACCCACAGGTCACTTTGTGCTCGGGCTGAGGCCTGCTGCTGGGACAGGGTTACCTTTAAGAGGAGATTATGGGAAGCAGTACATCTCATTCAGAACATCTGAGAGCCGACGCTATACAAAGCACTAATCGGTAATTAATACAAATAAAAGAAACAATCTTTCATGGTGCTGGTAATAATAACACTCCCGAGTTTGTTCTAATCCATCTTTTTGTCAAATGAAGCACTGGGGAATTTGTCTGCAACAATTTTTCAGAGTCTTTGCTTTGATTTGCACTGTGGGTTTAAGCACTGTTAGACCTCAGAATAAATAATAAATAAATAATCCAAAGGAATAGCTTTAATACTTGTAAGTCGGTATTTAACATGCAAAGGGAATCTTTTATATGTGTACATGCTTCTCACACCAAAATTTAACTTTATCTACAAATTCTATGAATTTATCTACAAATGTGGCAATAGGCCACTGCACAAACCCTTCCCTCCTATCTACCAGCTGAAGAATATTGAGCTTCCTCCAGAGAAGTAGCACCTTCCACCACAGCAGACAGCTCTGAACCTTTAAATAGCTCCGTGTTCGTTATATTTAGGGACAATTACACCAGCGGCTTCCTGGCTGCAAATATGATTCATTACTCTGAAGTAGAAGTAATACCTCTAATAGACTATGCATTGAGCTGACCCAAAATAGCTGCTGCTGAGTATTTGCTCTGAACCACTCCATGGATGGATCTGTTAAATGATTCTAACCATAGACAGAAAGAACAGATTACCCTGCCATGTAATTATTTGGCCCTACCCCTAGATCTTTATGTAAACTAAATTTCAAAGGTGGACAAAACTAAGCAGTGTTTAATAACGGGTTCCTAGGTATAATTTGTCTGGAACTTGCTGGGAGGTTATAAATCCGATTTTAAATTAAAAAATTTGCATTTGCTGTTTAGTCATCCTTTAGCTCTACTGTTACCATCATTCTTTGAGTTAAATTAAAAAAAAAAAAAAAGAGGAAAAGAGAAATATATGAGTGATTCTTTTTCTGAGGAAAAGGAGCAGAAAAGGGTGACTTCCAAACCCCATAGGGCTGAGGGCACAGCTCCTGCTCCTGCCCTGCTCTGCAGTGATGCTGCACTGATCTCACAGCACTGCCTGGCACCTGCACAGTCGTTCCTGCAAGGATGTGCTGCCCTGCTATGGACTCTGATCCTATACACTGATGGGCTTACAGGTTGCAGAATTCACACAAACTGGGGAGACTGAAAATGACTTCAAGAGATTACTACGCATCCATTCCCTACTGCAGAGCCTAACCCATAAAAAAAGATCTAT